ACACCAAGTCAGTGTGAGAAAGGTGGTATTATGTAAAAGCCTATGAAACTGTTGAGAGTCCACCATTTTTGACCAGCAACAAAAATAGTTTCATATGGATCAATCTTAGTCATGGCATCTGGCTTCAAATACAATAAAAACACTGTTTTACTCAAAATACGCATTGGGTAGAGAGATGGATGGTGTTCTTTTCCTGTTCCATTCACTACATTATCTGTCAACATGTGTCTTGTGGGCCATTGTCAAGGCTACAGTAAGGACTGTCTGGAGTCTGGAACCTAGGAAGCATGTCCCACGTGAGAAGAGAGGTTAGCAGAATCCTCTGATTGCCTGACTGCAGGGTCTGTCCTAACCCACACAGCTACACTAAACTGATTCCAGTGAGGCCAGAAAGGCAGCAAGAGGAAGACCCAACTACAGTGGAAACTTTCAAAGATTCTATAGTGCTTTTTTTTTTTAACTTTATTTATTTATTTACTTACTTTAATTTGTCCAGAGAGGGAGGGAGAGAGGGAGGGAGGGAGAGAGGGAGGGAGGGAGGGAGAGAGAAAGTGAGAAAGCAAGCTGCCAGGTCCAGGACTCGAACCACAGTCGGCCACATGGGAGTCCAGCACCCTTAACCACCACGCCACCTGCTGGCCCCTCTATACTGCTTTTGAATAAAAGTGCCAGAGAGGAAAGCAATCGCAGGTCACTTTCTGCAAAAAAATCTAGCTCCAGTCTTAAACCTGAGTTGGACCATTCGCTTTGTGGGGAGGAGCTTATTTATCAATAAGAGCACTGAAGGTCAAATTTATGCTCTGGCATTGACCACTATCTCATTTTTACTCCTTGCTGTTTTATATTTTAGTGCAACACATTAAACATTACAATTCCAGACTGCCAAAGGGTCACCACCACCTCTAGACACACAAGAAATATTCCTCTCTCCAAATAAGAAAATCTGCAAAACATCTCAAGACAGAAATTTATGTTCCTATCTATCATCTTTAAGAATAATTTTTGATGAATGCAAGAATACATGTGAATAAGGGGAAGAGACTGTAGGATGGTGTATTATAGCAGAGTGAAAAACATAGAAAACTGGGGCCAGCAGGTGGTGTAGTTCTTAAGGCACTGGATTCCCATATGGCCAAGCACAGTTTGAGTCTCAGACCTGGCATTTCGAAAATCACACTAGGTGTGTGTGTATGCATGCCCAAAAGCCCAGGAAGAGAATGGAGCAAAAGGAACTGTGGTGTAGCCATCCCCCATGGAGGGGGTTGAATTCTTAGTTTCCTTTTCACTGTCTGTCTCTCTCTGGCAAGGGCACATGCCCTATGGCAAAAATCTTAAAAACAAAACAAACATTAAAAAATGTAACACATATTAGGAAAACTATTAACAAATGTGGACAATAGAATGCAATGTCCATTAGTGAAAAAGATGAACATGAATATATCCTTGATTTGATAATTATACAGTGTGTATGTGTGTGTGTGTGTATATATATACATACATATATCTATATATATCACAGTTTATTATAGGTAAACTAGAAATCATAGTAATTATAATTTTTTAAATAAAATAATTATTTTTACAGATTTAGCTCTTATAACTTGATAAGTACCAACACAGTATGTATGTCTGTAATGTAAAAACATTTTACATGTTTGCTGATAAACTCAAACCTAAGGTCTGAATCCTGGAAATTAATAGCATGGAAGACAAAAACACAACTGAATGTTTGCTTAAAACACTGTTTTAGGAGCCGGCAGGTGGCATAGTGGTTAAGGAGCTGGACTCCCACATGGCTGACCATGGTTCCAGTCACAGACCAGGAGGCTTGAAACTCAACACTGGGCACGTGTGCGGTATGTGCTCGAAATCCTAAGAAGAGAATGAAGGAGAGGGACTGAGGTGTAGCCAAACTTTATATGTATTAGCTAATGCAGATGTGTATTAGTGGAATCCATTTTTTCTACATGTGTTTATATACTTACATTATTCCTCCAAGTACAGGAATTTAAATGCATACTCTCAGAGAGAAAGAAATGTCTCATTTATCTTAGCATTCTATGAGGGTACTTTACAAACTTTTTGGGAAAGTATAAGTTTATATTAGTGCAAAATAATTACAAAGTCCATGCAAGACTTTTTTTTTAGTACACATTTGCCATGAACTTTTTGAAGAACTCTCATATTATTGGATTGTCAGAAAAGTCATGACACATTTTTACACAGAAAAATGTGTTCAATGGGGCTTCGAAAGTTTATGGGAAATGAAACTAAATTACTAAAATACAAGTTAATTTTGATGCACAATATTTTGAAATCCATAAATAGTTTTTTGGTAATTATACACATTTTCCATGAACTTTTTTGCATAGAAAAAATATGTCATGCCTTTTCTGACAACCCAGTAGGAATTATATGAATGCTTTGTAGGGAGTAGCTGGTCTAGCTGGTGGCTGGATCCCACATGGCCAACTATGCAGTTTGAGTCCTGGATGTGGTGGCTTGAAAAACACGCTAAGCGCATATCCATTAGCACATGGGCATGATGAGTGTGTATGTATGCCCAAAATCTCAAGAGGAGAATGGAGACAAGACTGCAATGTGGCCAAACCCCCTGTGGGGTGCTTTCTCACTTTCTCTATCTATTTCTCTATCTCTCTGGTGAACATATGTGCCCTATCACAAACACAAAAAAGAAAAAAAAATGTTTATTGGGTTAAATCAGATAGAAAGTTCAGAGAAAACAACTATACTGGTTTTCACATGAAAATACACTGAACTGAGCGGTGACTTCAAATATTAGAAGATCAAAAGAAAAGTCAAAATAGTCGCAGGATATTAATGCAAGTATCTCACATTAATTTTCCATTAAAGTGGCTCCTTGAAAAGAAGTTAATGTTCTAAGATTTAACAGTTAACATTAGGTGAAATGCATGCGATTTCTAATGTAACTACCCATTTCCTCGAAGCATGGAACACACATTATGAAGGTCACAGATAAAGACAGGCAATGGAACAGAGCCTTGCAGAGGCAGAGAAAGGAGCGTAAAACTCTGTCAACAGTGGATGGCACAGGAAGGCTAGGTGATGAAGTAGGAGATGCTGAAGAAACAAACATGGATTCCATCTGAAAGTACCAAGAATGACAGAGTACCCTAAACTCTGTTCTGACTCTGGAAGTTAGAACAGAAAACCAAGGGTCAGCAAATGCCACACTCATGAATGAAATGCCCTGCACAAAGAGTGCCCATTCTGTTGGGGTAGTACTGGGCACAGGAGTGTAATCAGAGCCTTGAGTAGTGAAGGATGGCAGCAATATATTTTGTTAGTATATAGAAACAAGTTTATAAACCATCATTCTCCATGTTTCCACCAAAGACAAGTCTAGATAACTGAGGAAAGGAAGGGTTAAGTAAAGAAAACTATCACTAATTCCATTACATTTGAATTGCTTTCAGTGATACAATCAAACCTTTAAGAAAATCTGATCGGGTTCGCTTGCCACAATAATCTCTTCCTTGCAGGCAAGTTCTTCAATTGGGTATTAGGTTCATGCCATCATTGGATGAATCTTAGAAGCTTGCAATGATAACCTGTTCAAAAACTCAAGTCTTAATATCAGTAGTTCCCAGACCTCTTCAAACGTGTTCAACGGGCTTCAAAAGGTTTATGGAAAACGGAACTAAAATAACTAACTAAAGTACAAGTTCATTTTGGTGCACAAATATTTTGAAATCCACACATAGTTTTTATTATTAATTATATACATTTTCCATGAACTTTTTAAAGACCCCCCCCCAATATAATTCCAGATTCTGACCCAAATACTGATAAGCATGGTCATATCTGAAACTCATCATCCCCTGGAGCAGTTCTATATTGAGGATGTCAAAACTCTAAAACATTCCTTATGGAAAACAATTTCCTAGTCTTCAATTTCTCCATACCCTCCATTTCTCTTCATTTGCTGTCACCAGAACATCCAGTCTCTCAGTATTTCCCTGCTCCTTGGTTCTCTAGCCTTACGTGGACTCCAGGAACAGTCATTTTTACCTGGCTATCACTAGGAGAGAGTAATATATAATTTTTATGTAGCATTTCACAACTCACCCAAAGTACTATTGGCCTTTTCTTAATGGATTTCATTTTTGATAGGTCAGATTATTATTCCTCTTAAACAAGTAGCAAAGGGAACTTTGAGAGACCACTGAAAATTTGTTAACACAGATTGTAGGGAGCTGTTTATACTTTGGTCCCTTGTCTGACTCAGTGGCTCACAATGGCAAAACTGTGGCTAACAACCAGGGGCTACACTTGACTACATACTGTGCTTTGCACTGTTCTCAAAAACAACTGTTTTACGCCTTGGCCCAAGCTTCAACAGCATCAGATTCTAACCAAATAAACAACTGTATCCCCAAAAGAAACACAAGCTAGTTAAAGCAGTTAACAATGTGCACTGGCAATGAGGCAGCCAGAAAACCAGCAGTTGTGTTAAACCAGAGTTCTACATGTAGATGGCCTGGAAGATTAAGTTAAAATAAGTCACATGAAACTTAACCACGACTAAAATAGGTATGCATCTTTTTGCTTCCAATTATCTTGAAAAAGCAACAAAGATGAAATACTATAAATCTTTGGTTAATTAATTCCAAGTTTTTTGCAGCAAGCTTTGTACCCTCATCCTGTATTACATACCATCTGTCTATGGTGAATATTTAGTTCTCACTCGCATACTGCTTCCTAACCCTTAGAATAAATTGTGTGTTCTTAAAAATCAGGGGGAAAAAAAAATTCCGCTAGACCAGAGGGGAATGAGGACTTGTATTTCAGACAGACTGATACCCTCACACCCCAAGCTACTGCTGCCAACTCCTGTGATCATGAAGCAGCACCTTCACGCTCATGAACACATCCGATAGTGTTTAATTTACCAGGAACTGGTAAATCGGACAGCAAGTTTTCTACACACAGAGGGAAACAAACTTTCATTCAGTTACCTCTAAGTGACTTCGCCTCTCGGCGATCACACGTTCATCCTTGTTTCCAAATAGTTTCTTTGGAGGAAATTCAAGGGCAGCAAGCTGAAATACAGGTTTTTAAAGAAATGCATTAATATCACACCTGTGAACTTTGGATAATTATTCATCTATTATGTGAGATCTTCATTAGGGAGTGAAAGAAAGGATGAAAATTTAAAAGTGGTGGGTCCTGTCTTGCTCTGCCACTAACTAACATGGTGGCCCTGAGTCAGAAGGCCCAGGGGTCACGTGAGAAGACAGGACAATAGGAACTGTAAAAAGGGTAGACCTGATTCTCAATATTGTCTCAGATGACATGTCAGACTCTGCTAGAGTGTTTAATAATGTGTGTGTGTGTGTGTGTGAATGTATGTATGTATTTATATATATTTGTGGCCAGAGACACATATGCTTGCCAAAGACAGCAGAGAGACGAAGCACCCACCCCCCACTGGGCATGGTCATGCCATAATCTCTTCTTCTCTATTTCTCCATCCTGTCAAGATTTTGGGCATACACACATAAGTAACTGGTATATTTTTCAAGCCACTGGGGCTAGGACTCAAAACTGTGTGGTCAGCCGTGTAGTATCCAGCTCCCCCAATCATCGGGCCACAGGGCTGACCTACAATTTTTGTTTCTAAAATGTTCGTTTGTGGGACTGACCGACAGGTGGCGTGGTGGTTAAGGTGGCTGGACTCCCACATGACTGACCATGGTTCAGCCCATGGATCAGTGAGGAAGAAAGCCCATGGCAGCTTTCTTCCTCACTTTCCTTCTCTCTCTGTCTCTCTCTGGTCAACTTCAAGAAAATAAATAAATAAAATAATGACAATGACTAAAATTAAATAATTCTTTAAAAGATATGTTAGCCTGTTCTCCTTTTAGTTCCCTTCTTTTCTAGAACTCAATTTTTTGTGTGTGTGTTGAGATAATTCGAAAATTCAACCTACACATTCCCCAAACACTTTGCAAAATAACACTTCCATTATTGCTAAGTCTCTCTAGACATTCTAGGTGGCCTTTTTGTTGTAGTCAATACTGCAAATGAAGGGCTGCCTATGTGAAAAGACTTCCCTTTGAATGTTTTCACCTCGTTCAGAAATAAAGGTTCAGAATGTTTTTAACCTGGTTTTAGAATTCAGTAGTAATTTTTCTTATGCTTTTCTTCTGGGAGGTATAAAAATCATAACAATAAGATAATAAGTCTTATTACAGATTGCCAGGCCAAAAAAAAAAAAGAGAAAGAAAAAAAAAGACTCAATAATCTGGCAAGAACCTGATCAAGCAGTGTTGCTTTGGCTGAATGAATGCTAAGCAGCAATAATTGCTGCTGTTGGTGGAATTCTTCACTATTTCCTCCCTTTCTCACCTTGTCAGGTCCATTCAAATCGAATGTCAGGTCCATTCAAATCGAAGTCAACAAAGCATTATCGAGAAAAAAAATAAGTATTTCCCTCACAATATAGGGTATAATATGTCACAAAATTCCCATTTTATACCTATGCAAATTACTAAGTTGATTTATATTTATACTACCACAGTGGGAGTCAAAAATTAAGGGCTAGCATCTATCTACATAATAATTTAAAATCATAGTATTACAGTATAAGATGTACAAAAAGTGCACATATCATTAGGGGATAAACTGATGCATTTTCAAAATCTGAGCGTGCTGTAGAACCAGCAGTCAGATCAAGAAACAGAACACTGCTGGCACCCGAGGACCCATGTGCGCTTTTTGGATTTGGTCGTTGGAAAAGTCATGATGTGTTTTTGGCATAGAAAAATACATCATGACTTTTCTGATGACTCAATAATTTTCTCCACATTAGTGACTGACCTCTAGTAGCATAGTTCGGTTTTTCCTATTTTGAACATCATGTAAATGTTCACACACAGTGAATTTTCTCGCATCTGCTTCCTTTCATTCAACATTATGTTTGTGATACACATCCGTGGTGTCAAGTGTGGAAACAGTTTGCTCATTTTCAGTGCAGTATATTATTCCAATGTGACAATTCTGCAATCTACTTGTTCATTTTCTTGTAACTGGGCTTTTTGTTTGATTCCAGTTTGGGGCTATTAGGAATTGTACTGCTATGAACATGTTCCAGTAGAGGAGGTTTTTTTGCTATAGGGCACGTGCGCTCACCAGACAGAGAGACAGAAAGCGAGAAATCACCCCCCAGGGGGGATGGCCATGCTGCAATCCCTTCTTCTCCATTCTCCTCTCGGGATCTTGGGCACGCATGCACACTTGCCTGGTGTGAGTTTAAGCCACTGGGTCCAGGACCCGAACCATGGTCGACTACATGGGAGTCCAGTGACATAGCCATTACACCAACTGCTGGTCCCTCCAGTAGGTCTTCTGATAGACACAAGGATGCATTTCTGTTAGTCATACTCTCCAGACTAAAGATGCTGGGCCATGCAGTGTGTATGCATTCACCTGAATGTGAAACTGTCCAACAGTTTTCCAAAGTGGTTGCACTAACTGACACTCCCATCAAAAGTGATCGAGAGATCTGGTTTCTCCAGAGCCTCACCATACTTGGTTTTATGATCTTTTCCTTCTTAGCATTTCTGATGGTTATGTAGTCATTTATATTGCGGTTCACATTTGTATTTGTCTCATGACTAAGGATGTTCAACCTCTTTCCACGTGCTCATTGACCATCTGGTTAGTCATTTTCCACACAGTGTCTGTTCAAGTCTTTTGCCTTTTAATAAATTAGTTGTCTATTTCTTAATAAGAGTAATTCTCCCTTTCTCATTCATTCATTTGTTCATTCATTCATTCATTCCATGAGACAGAGAGAGAATGAAAAAGAAAACACAAGATAGACAGATAGGCAGGCACTTCCAGCATGTCCCAATCCACCCTTAGCCTCTGCCAGCCCAAGCTGTACACAGCCCAGGATGTGAACCTGGAACTCTCCATGTGGGTTCAGTTAGGTTAGCACTGTGCCACTGCCTGCCCCTCCCTTTTCATTTTCTTATAAAGCTTCTGAAGACTTTATAGTAGTCTTTTTTCAAAGTTAATTGACCCTGGACAGATGTTTGCTCCTTTCATACATTAGAATTTTCTTTTCCAAAGCAGAAAATCCTTGGAGTCACACCACTAGGTAGATATCCTCTTCCCCTTTCTTACCAGTGTTCCAATTTTGTGGCTGACATTCAACTTTAAAGGTAAAGTGAAAGACCATGGCACTGAGGGAAGAGACAGACTGGGTCTAATTCTCAGTTTGATCAACAACTAGTTAACTAGCTGCATGTCTCTGAGCCCTGTTGAAAACAAAAAAACAAACTGCTGAGAATTACACTAAATGTCACCAGGTTTCCATGAAGACTTAGTGCACAATGGTGACTGGATTTAGCTACATTTTGAGAGAGGCCTGGTGACTACAAAGAAATTAGCATGCCCACATTCCCCTGAGCCCTCCCCTCATCCACTTGACTAGTAACATAGTTTCAAGGAGTTCAGGCTTTTCTGGAACCTGGCCTTGTTGGCACAAGCATGCTTCCCACATGTGGCAGCTCAGAGAAGACAGGTACACCAAAGCGTGTCTTCTGGACTGCACCTGGCCTTGATTTCATCTTGTAAAAATGTGTGTGTCCCCCACGCCTGCAATGAGGTGGCACGGAAAGATGGGCAAGCACGCTTTCACAGTTGGTGGTTTTGTCATGTTCTTATGAGGCTGACAGGGTGATGTAGTTTCTGTCAGGGGGAATTTATAGTCGCATTTACATGCTCGACCAGAAATGGTGTACATAAAGGAATTCAGCCGGCTAAGATGGCTGAGGAGCTAGTGTTCAGGTTTCTGTGTAGTCAACAGTGGTGCTCCTCCTCCAGACCCAGGTAGAGGCTAATGCTTTGTGCGATTCCAGCCTGTGAAGTAACCATGTGTAAATTCTGTGTAGCACTGCTGTTGATTGGAAGAGAAAAGGAAAATGTCAAGTTTCAGTGACTGTAAGTCTCAAATTACCTACTATATTGAACTGTCAAACTTTAGAGTTAAAGAAACACAGGTTCACGGGCCAGCAGGTGGTGTGGTGGTTAAGGCACTGGATTCCCTTATGGCAGACCACAGTTCAAGTCCTGGATCTCGCAGCTTGAAAATCACACTGGTATGCATTCATGCCCAAAATCCCAACAGGAGAACTGAGAAGGGACTGGAGCATGGTCATCCCTCCTGGGTGGTGATTTCTCACTTTCCCTCTCTCTGTCTCTCTGGTGAGTGCATGCACCCTATGACAAAAAACTTAAAAAAAAAAAAAAAAAAAAAAGGAAAACAAAAAAGTTTGTGGTGCTCCTCCTCCAGACCCAGGTAGAGGCTAATGCTTTGTGCGATTCCAGCCTGTGAAGTAACCATGTGTAAATTCTGTGTAGCACTGCTGTTGATTGGAAGAGAAAAGGAAAATGTCAAGTTTCAGTGACTGTAAGTCTCAAATTACCTACTATATTGAACTGTCAAACTTTAGAGTTAAAGAAACACAGGTTCACGGGCCAGCAGGTGGTGTGGTGGTTAAGGCACTGGATTCCCTTATGGCAGACCACAGTTCAAGTCCTGGATCTCGCAGCTTGAAAATCACACTGGTATGCATTCATGCCCAAAATCCCAACAGGAGAACTGAGAAGGGACTGGAGCATGGTCATCCCTCCTGGGTGGTGATTTCTCACTTTCCCTCTCTCTGTCTCTCTGGTGAGTGCATGCACCCTATGACAAAAAACTTAAAAAAAAAAAAAAAAAAAAGGAAGAAACACAGGTTCAGAGTTGAGTGAATTGAAAAAATTCAATGCCATGGGATGCCAAAGTCAAGCAAAGGAATTGGTATGACTCTAGGTTTTTGCCACAATCCTTAAAGGACATCAAAACTGCAGTGTACGGAAGAGGCCATTATGAATTCTTCAGGGATTCTGGTATAAAGATGGAAGGAAGTAACTCCTTTTTACGTTGATTAAACCAGCAACATGAATGTCTAGATCCTAGGCAGGGACCATCAACTCCAACAAGAGGGGTCAACAGAACCTCACAAAGGAGGTTGTAAGGATCTGTCCT